ACTCCCGAAGGAACAGGATAGTTCTAGAAACGTGGCGTGACACTAGTCACGTGACCTCGCTGACGCAACACTATGTTAATTGTATAAGTCTGTATATGTGAAATTAATAATCTTGTAGCGCAATGTGTGGAATATCGTCACCACTCTATGGTGCCAGAAGTTCCACCTTTAATTAAGGTGTGGTTCTGTTACTGGTTAAAAACTACTTTTATTCATGGTCCAGATCGCGCGCCTATCAAAGATGTGCGCAACAACAGAAATGAACACGGCGTCCTCGTCGATCTGTGTAATGAGTGGAGCATAGTTGCGCACAAACGAAGAGAGTTGGAGGTTAATAATGTTTTCGCCATGCGCATTCGTTCTCTCTCTCTCTTTTATTTTTTGTACCAAAGATGCGTAAAAACAAATCTCCAAATTTGCACGTAGATATTCACTGATAATGCTCTGTCTAAGATAAACATTCGACTATAACAAACTAACGCTCACGTTTACTCAGTCTACCAGTTCCAGAGTTTGCTAGGTGCGTGAGAATGACAAGCCACGTGACATTTTTATGAGCGTGTAGTTATTATCACGTCTTTTGACTACAATGTATTGTACAAATTTACAATAAACATTGAAAGTAAACATCGAAAACAAATAAAATGTGTAAATGGTTTAGATAACCGGAATTGGCCATATTCTTAGTTCACCCCAAACTGAAACTTCCAACTGGTTATTGCCTTATATCCTTAGTCGACAAGCTATTCCGTTTCATCCAATCAAATTTTAATCTTTTCGTGCGTCAGCTAGATGAGATTAGAGAAGATAGAAGATCACGTGACAAGATTATTAATAGCGGTTACACAATTTTAGTGAATTGGTGAAAATTTTGAAACTAAACAAAGTTAAAACTGTGACTTCTATGTTGCATACGTCCATTTGTCAGTTGATGAATAATTCTATGAACACTATATTCTATTTACTGGGTTGATTACTCTTGACGACAGGGGGAGACACTCACGGGTTTCAATACCGGGAAAGGAAGCAAATTAGGTATATTTGTCTCATACCTGTTGCTTGTAGGTGTACGTGCGTAGTCGTTTCTGACTGTATGAAGAGAGAAACTAGTGCTAGCGTGGTCGACAGGGTAAGTACTTGTTTTATTTTGTTTTCGAATGAACAGTTGAAACACCATTACTATGTTGTTGTTCTAGGTAATGTCATAAGGATGATGGTGTTTATTGTAACAGTTTTTTTTATTGGTAAAAAAGTTACTCTAACATGCCGACGGGTAACATTGTCAACAGTTTTCCCCTAACTTGAAAATAGAACTAGAACTAATACTAGTAATAGAAGTTAGACTGAGTTAATTTTTGTACATTATTGCTAGAGTTTACGCCTAGATAATATTTCTATATAATGTGACCAAACAGTGAAATACTTGTATTTTAAATTCGAGTCACGCTTTTTTTTCTTCCTGCCGAATATGATATTTTGTTTTAAGTCGAAACCACTTTCCACCCCTACCGCAGAGATAACTGTGATGTGAAAAAAAAAAAATCCCGAGTTCCTCGAAAGTAAATAAAAAAAACAAAACAAAAAAAACTGCAAAACCCCTAGTAATAAGTTGTTGCACTATCATTATCTTTGTATGAACCTTTTGGTATTGTGTAAACTTAACAAAATGACAGGATGTCTCTGCATGAAAATTTCCTGAGAAAGTGTTACTAGAAGTAGAACAAGATATCGAATATCTGCGTGTGTGCGTCAGAATTCCCTAGTTTGTGGAGATATTGTTAGAAAATAAGGTTTCGATATTTCTAGGTGTATAATATCTAATTCGATATGATACCATTTTGTTAAGTGTTCAATTATGTAAATATAAAGTAAAACCCTTAAAAATATCTTCTTCCACTGCATTAGTGCATAGTGGTAATTTACAGGAACACTAAGGAATAGCTGGACGTTTACTTAATTCCAGTCGTAAAAATCTTGAAGTATTTTACAGAAATCGTTGAGAATCTTGACTTATCAGGAGAGTGTGCTACTAGTACTACCCGTTGTTTTCTGTGTGTGTGTGTGTGTTTGTAAATCTCGAGGCCATCATTAAAGATGATCATGGGTGTTGAAGATAGCGTGGTTGATATTATAAGTGAACATATTCTTTGCTTTCACTCGTAAGTACTCGGAATTAAGTAGCTTTGCGGATGGAGAAGTAATGTAATCATTATTTCTTACACCTAGTTCTCGTAGTTCTACTAATTAGCTGTATATTTAGAAGTGAATTTGTGACGTGTAGTTTTTAACCTTCGCTGTTCACAGCTACCTTCTGTCAGTCGCGTATTGGAGCCTTTGCTTACGTAAATGCGTCATTTGTTTAGTATATAGCTTTATTTGCTTATCTCTCGGAGGTGTGCTGAAGAGTGATAAGAAACTTTAACTTTATCTTCGAACTACCATGAAATATGTTACTTATTATACAGCTCTGGTTATTAGATAATCCGATCTTGAATATTTAAACTCTTTAAAAAAAAAAAGTCCGAATTTAGAGTTCCAGAGTTGTTTGTTGTGAATTGGAATCTTATTGCAATACGTAGGTATTTTATTTTCTGTTTATTAACTGAATTTGAAGGCCAGTAAAATAAGCAGTATTTCTCAAATTGGTCTGCATCACGACCCACCCGGGTTCCTAGGCGTTTTTTTTTTGGGGGGGGGGGCATGTTCACTTGGTGTAGGAAGTGGGGGCGGGCTGTTATCATAATTTAAGTAAAGCTTGTTATGTATTAGAATTTCGAATAGTCCGAAGCCGAGTTAACTGATAATTTAAATTTAATAGTTAAATTGTACTTTGGATTTAGTATTTAAATATTTGCCGATATTTTAGTCAACTTACGATATTTGCCAACAAGATTGATACACACCGTCTTCGTTTTTAACACAAATTCGTTTTAATATACAAACAACAGTACAATTTACAATAACAATTATTACGAACAATGATTTATAAACAGAAGTTTCACAAAGTTACAAACAATATAAAGTTTTTTCTAGTCTGGAACTTCCTTGATATCTTATCTAGGG